ATAAATTTAAATTTTATAATAATCACATATGATATAAGATATTATAAACATAATATATAATGCATATTTAAGGCTGACATTAAAATTGTAATCTGAAATTCTCTCTTTTGAAAAATTGGTAAATTATTCATCCTTAGGTTTTCCATATTATGAATTTACCATGACTGCGCACCATTTTATTAAACCATTTGAAGAGGAGGTTTACTTTTTTACTCGTAAAAACTTTATAGCTTCTCCTCAAATTTTTTCTATTTTGGGAAATTTTATAACATTTCTTAATTATAACAAAGTTAGCTATTATTGATATCGTAAATGGAATGAATGACATGATAAAGGTACTCCATTTTTTGTAGGCCACAAACCAAGGTAATTTCGGATTAACTAAATTGGTATATCTAATAACTATAAATTTTAAGACATGATATAGAATTATTATTTAGATTCCTATATTTAGCATGAGTTAAATTAAGATCTAGTCTATACAACATGTTTTTGGTAATCAATTGATTATATAGTATAAGGTTCGTTTTATTTTCTATATACTTGGTTGGAATCTATCCCCAACCATAAGGAATAATTACTGAAAAACTAACCATAAAACCTAGAACTATTATATATTTGATTAAGGAGTTGGTCATTATCCTTCTATAAGAGAAAGGAAATACAAGAGCCCAAAGGCGGTCTAAGGATATAAAAATCCTTAATATGTAATTATAATTGTTAAAAAAGTCCATTAAAGGGAATCCTATCTTTAATGAATAAAAAAAATAGATGAATGATTCGTGACAAGTATTATAACATGCTAAATAAATAAGTGGTACTGCGATAGAGTTGACACAGAATAGGAAATCGGAGATAGCCAAAGTCTTGATATACAGATATATATTTCGCCTTGGTGGTTTCAATCTAAACCAATTTTCTTCTCTTAGTGATAAAATTCTATTAGCATTTAGATTGGTTGATTTACTAGATTCGAAAATTTTCTACGGTTGCTGGGTGCAATTGATGGCTCTGGGAAGCTAATTATTCGATTTTTGTTTAAACACCAAAAATATATAAAATTTCCTATCAATCCCTGTGTTGACATTAGTATGCCATACGTTATGTCCATGGAAGTGTATGTAAGAGAGATTAATTTTTATGTTTACTAAAGTAGACGTTTCTTTTGGGGAAAATTCCAAATTGGTTTCGAACTGAAAAGAATAATGAATCGTTACTGGCTTTCAAGTGTTTAGAGACAAACGCGATCCTCAGCGTTGGAAAAGTAATAAGTTGACCCAATTGAACTGTTATATATAATGAATTTGATTTTCTAAATTTACGCATTTACAATGTAATAAATGAATATAAATTCAAAAGAAGGTATATAAATAAACTGAATTTACAGGAAATAAATATAATTTGATATTTTTCCATTATGTTTATAGAAACAATTAATATATGTATGATGTTCACTATAAATGAATTCACCCAGGGCCATTAAGATAAGCTCGATGTGCCGACTTGTTTTTAATTACACTTATTAAATTGGATATGGAAAATTTTAATTAAATTTCTGTTGAACACATAATAGGAAAATGATTTTGATGAAAGTTAAAAATTTGTAATATGATTAATCAATTGCAGGTATGAAATAAACCAATTTTATAAGATTTCATTGATTAGCTTATAAATGAAAAATTATACATTATCGTATGGTGCTAATACATTTTTTTAAAAATCCTTTTCTTTTTCAAACCTAGATTTACATTTTAATCTTATATTTATTATGGCTAGGGCAAATGGTTAACTAAATAGATTCAATCAGTATTTCCTTAAAAAATAAATAAATAATCCTATAACTTATTAAAAAAAACCCTTTATTATATTTCATCGGATTAGAAAATTGTATTTCTGTGGTAAACTATACTTGTTAACATACCTTCTGAAATGTAAAAGCGAATGGCAATGACGAAATATTTATAATATGTAATAACACACTTTTTTTATTGATTCCTTGGTGATTTTTTTATTTGTTATTTTTATTAAACTAATATTTAATAAATTAAAATAAGATTATGAAAGAAAAAGAAATCTATTTGTTAATATATATTAAAGCCCTTACAAGGACCGATCCCAGTTTGAATCCGATTTAAATTCGATCCGCTGGGTTTTCTAGATTTATTCCTATAGCTATGGCACCAGTGTCGTGTCTGGGGGAAAATCTGATGTGCAACACGTCTTTGCGAATACAACTATAATATCCTAACACTGTTTAAATACTGTTTAGGAATAAAGATGTTGTACCATGCTATAAAAGGTGTAAATGTAATTGAATTATCGCGTTTAAAGATTTTATTGTAACGACATTACAATTATCAAAAGACGTTGGTTAGCATAGCATCTCAATTGAGCATTCAGCTCCTGAAGATTGGAAGGATACCTAAGATGGGTATCTATCAAACTTCATACTGTAAAGGCAGTTTGGAATAATTATGAGGGTCTATATACCCATTTGCTGAATCTAACAGCAGTTCTAAATTTAATGGGATATCACTCGATTAGATTACGGATTTTACCTTGGTGTAAGATGTTCTATTTGAATTATCTAATTTATTTTTAAGGCTTCAGAGAAGGTTTTCATATAGCTGAAAAATCAATTAAGCGCAATGGTTTAAAGATAACGAGATAGGTTCTAAATTACCTTTATATTTTCTAAATGAATTATTATTTAATATTTCTAAAAGAGATCATATGTAAATAAATCAAGTAGGGAAATAAATTAATTTAGATTAGTAAATGGAAGGAAATTGAAAAAATTATGTCATCGATGGAAATCAATGTATTACTGCCTAAACGAATATCAAAAATAAATATTAAGTTATACAATTTATTTATTTAACTATTTATCTGATATAGAATATTTAGGTAAATATGATTGGCCATAGCTTTGATATCAGCTCAAATTCCATATATTCTTAAACCTTTTGGTCTTTTCAGATTTTATGGGAAACGTTGGAACTTCTGAAATTCCTTGAAAGCGAGGTCAATTCCTGCTCTGGGATTGCTAGCGCATTGATTTGGCTCTGTCCAATCACACACTCAACATTCTTGAGAAAAAGGAGCAAATAGTAAAATATTCTGAATTTCGCATGACTACATATTCATTCCCATAATTTCCACCAACTTAAATTTGGGAATAGCCCTATATTCTTTTTAAAGTAACCTGGATCTCACAGTCTTAACTTACAGATAAACCTTAGCGAAGTCTTTTTTTCAGACAAAGACTTGGCATAGATTTTCCCAAGTACATTAGCTTCATGGGTAACCTCATCCCACAAGATAATTATTTTTAACATTAATATATGTTGTGCATGTGTTATTTTTTTTTATAATATATTATGAATATATACATTTAAATTGCATGACAAAGTGAAATTTAGTTTTTCTTTAATTATGTACTAAGGTTTTGGAAAATATATATATTATATTTTTAAATTACCTTCCTTTTTTTTAAGAAAATGATATAACTTTTCAAATAATTATTATATTATTTTATAATATAATTTATTTAAAAGAAATATATAATAAAATTGATGTTTAGCAATATACTATCTAAAATATAGAAAATGTTTACCATCAAATCTGGTCAACAGTGCATTTTATAGGAAATGCTGCAAAATTAGGCAGTAATCAATTGCACATGTAATTAATTCCCATAATTACCTTTTTGTAATTAGTAACTATAATTAATCCATTTTAAAAAAAATTGGTATTTATAATTATTTACATTTTTTTACTCGTTAGGTCAAAAAAAGGAACTCTTTTACTCGTTATTTTGCGAAAAAATAAACTCGAGTTACTGGCTCTTCAGAAAGTAACGCGTCACTTTTAACTTAAAAAAAATTAGATAACATATATATATTACAAAAATAATATGAGATTTTTTTTAAAATAATATCTATCCTTTTTTTTTAAACTACAGGGACCAACTTGGTTTCTAAGATGAATGATATGAAGTTATTCATGGTAGGGCTGATGTTCTCTAGAATATTTGCAATGTAGTGAATAATTACCTTTATTCACAGCGAGCATAGTTAGACTTAGATGGTTAAATATTTATGTTATAAAAAAAATTATCAATTCTTTAACCTCCCCCCCCCCCCCTCCCTCCGTTACAAACCTTTGCCAGCTCCTCGCATTAAGAGTGATAATTATTAACAAAATAATCATAGATAAATGAAGCCCCTATTATTTTTTAATACCCATGACCATAAATCTCCCAAACCCCACAAGCATAACATTCAAATTATAAAAAATTAATTTAAATAAAGGTATAAAAAATAATAGCGATTTTATATCCCTAATGACTATAAAAGGCTTTGATTTTTTGATACGATCTATGCTCTACTATGATAAAAAAAAACTTATCTCATAAACTCTCTTTAAAGTTTACGTTTACATAATTTTTAAAAAATATGGAGGTAAATTGTTCCTTCCTTGTTTCCAGATCCATTTAGAACTGCCCTTGATATCTTTAGTCCTATATTTCTAATTAAATACTGGGTTAGAACAATATAATTTTAGACTACATTATTTCACAAATATGCAGATATGTAACTTCATGAGACACATGAAATTAAAGAAATAATAATTTTTTATACGCAATGATATTTCACGGACATCACCAAAAAATAAATAAATAAATCAACATTGTATTAAGGTAATATATTAGCACGAGTATAATCACGTTTATGACTTTTCTATTTTTTATATATTTAATAAGTTTTAAAACGTTAGGCTGTTTAGAATAACTTCTAACCGTTTCCATAACGCCATTTTTTTCAAAGTTCTTTTTCTGGTTAAAAGTGTTCTTAAATATAAATATCTTAAGAAGGTATTAATTTTAATTTAGAAACAAAACTAGACTAAAACAATTTAAATATATAATTTTATTGCATTTTATATTGTTTAAAATTAAAAAGAAAATTAATCGACAAATAGAATATTTGAATAAAATGTAAAAATAAACTTTTTTTTATTGGGTTTTATTTGTTATTAATTTATGACTACATGGGTATTTAAAAAATATATTATATTTATCTAATAATAAAATTTAAGAAAAAATTATTGTAATTTGCATTGGTGGTAAGATGACACCCATATTCCTTTGAATTATAAGATTAGGTTGATTTGTCAGATTATTTTCCATTGTACCTGCCAATAAAGAAGGGAACGTTTTTCTTTTTACCAATGATGACGTAAAGAAATGAATGATCTGCTTTAAATTCTTCAGTGGTTCCAGGATTTATAGGAGTTTCTTTAGACGGGGAATTCGCTCCATCCACATCGAAACTTACACCAGCTTGATGGACATATTGATTTAGGGCCAATTTACCGGCTACAGCATTTGAATCCATTCCCGAAAAATCAGCTTCGCCTAAAAAAGATTTTAATTTATTTTAGTTTTCTTAATGATTTAAATTTTCGAATCCTTTAAAGTGGGAAAAATATTGTGCACAAAAATGAATAATGTAAAATAAAGACGAACCTTTTCTTTTTATCTATATTCCCAGACCATAAGTAATTAATAAAAAAAATAAATATGATTTAGAAAATGAACTTTACAATACAATAAATTATTACCTGGTGTAAATAGATTACCCAAGCCAATGGCCTCGAATTCCGAGTTGAGTTCTTGGTGAGATAAGGCCTTGAACTTAGGTATCGAGATCTTAGCGTTCATAGGTTTTAGGGCAGCGATTAAGTCTTTCAAAGTTTTCGTATCTAAGCGAGAGGTTTCGAAGGCTGTTAGACCGATGTGGTCATTAGGTAAGAATATATATTTTGCCAGGGTATTATTAAAATAAGGCACTTCCAAAATTCTGAGGGATAAATTCGGGATGGAACCTATTTTAAATACACCGGTCTTTTCCATATAAGTTTGAGGTTTAAACGCTCCGTCGACAGTCTTAAATTGACCTTGGGTAACGGAATCAAATTGTACCTCCCATTTACCCTGAAAATTAAAATTGACCATATTTATGTATTTGTTTATTTTTTTTTAAATTAGATCATATTATTTAATTCTCTTTCTTACTTTTTTTTTAATATTTAATGTGACAAATTAATGTAATAAAATTAAGATAAGAAACTTGAAAATATATCCGATAAATTATTAATATAGAATATATTATTTAAACTATTGAGACCAAAGAAAATAAATAAATTCATTAAAACTATTTAAAAAATGAAACTTTAAAATCTAGCGCACTGATGATCAAAAATTTAGTGTCGGAGGTAAGCCATTCTTTCAGAACATGGTGGGACATTTTACCATTTGTATCTTTACTCACATTCTGGTTTATTTTGGCGGCAGCCACTACAGGGTCTAAAAATTCTATATTAACGGCTTGCAGAAAAAATGCTCGTACGCCATCCGTGTAAGACTTTAGCAGATTTATCGAATCGTCGAAATAAAAAAATTTGGAAGATAAAAGTTCGTAATTTTTTTGGAAAACGACATCGACGTAAATCAAGGATTGAGAATTTATATGATCTTTTGTAACTGCAGCCAAACCCAGTGTACTTCTAATAGCGTTAGCCGTGCCTCCATTGGCACCCATATGCAGGCCCAGAAGATTCAAGGTCATGGAATAGGGAGAAAAAAACAAGTCCTCTCGGGTATCTCTTTTCAATAATTGCCTTTTATTTTTCATTTTTATTTATTTTTTTTGTAAAAAATAAATTAGTCATGTATGTTTCTTTAGTTATTTTACTATCATAAAACGATCACTTTAAGCAAAAAAGATTAAATTTATGCAAAAGAATCATATTGCCTTTGTTGGAGTTTAAATTTGTTCAAAGTGAAAAATAATAAATTATAGTTCTTTATATAATAATATTTTTTTAAGGAAATCGCCTTTAATTATATTATTTGCAGTGTTGTTAAAATGGCTCGATTTAAGCCTATTATTGCTAACGGCTAACTCAATATTTTAACTAGAAAATTATTGCTCTAAGCCGAGGTTAAACCTTTGTGCAATCTAGGGCCAAAATCTTCAGGCTTGCTTAATATTGGTTCACATAGAGCCTTTTGGCAACATTAAATTTATTTGTGTGTAACAAAATAAATATATAATTTGTGTTTTATTACTTGTACATATTGATTGCGACTTTCCAGTTAGCATTAACAACTTCTAATAACACGGGGGCATTAGTGTCCTCGAACATATTGCTTGCAACATACCCAAGTTTAAAATCGAACATATTGCATGCAACATACCCAACTTTTAAAAAAAACAAAATTATAAATGAAAAAATTTGTATTTCATAAAAATAGTTGATATTCATTTTTTATTTACCGAATAGGAAAAAGACTAAATATTTGTAGATCATCTCTTTAGATGGGTTTCTGCTCGAATTTAATTATTTATATAAGAAAATCATTAAAAAATTTTTTAAAAAAATTAACTTTAAAAAAAGATGAAAGTTAGATTATTTATATATATACATAAAAATATACTATTATAATATATAAATAACATTATTTGGCTTGAATAAATCTCTTCTATTTATTTCAAGACTAGATCTAAAACAATGGGACCTGATAAGAAATTACAAGATTTTTTTTAAAGAGATTTTTTAAAAAAACACACATTTTGAATTCGAAAAAACAAAAGAATAATTTGATCTGGAATTTAAAACATAGATATTTTTCATCAAACAAGTTCCGGATCATTTAAAATTTAAATCAGAATGATATCCGTTTAAGCAATCATAAATTTTCCAGAATTTTGGCGAAATGTATAAAAAATCATGGAGATTTTTAAATGAAAAATAAATTTAATTTATTTTTTTTTCTATTGAAAGGCAACTATCGGCGTTTCATGATGTACTTTATATTATATTGTTCGATTTTTAGCAAAAACTACCTTTAGTGCTCCGCCGAAATCTAGTTTTTTTTCTGCATATCTTATCAGGCTCAAAATATTTGGCACCTTTAGAAATAACTTCAAGTTTAGACTAATTGAAAGATATTTCACTGCAACATATAGATAATAGCTATAGATATGGGTTTGATGACTATTGAAAAATATTACTGTTGTAACTGTTGATAAAAAGAGAAGAAATAAATTTAATATAATACATCAAATGTCAGTTATTTTCTGACAGGGCAATTAAGTTTACCTTGGGGGAAAAAAAGACTTGATCAAACACATGATGGGTTGATTTAAGGAGTCCTTTGTTGGAAACTCGGGATGAAGAGATTGGATTAATTGGAGAAGATGTCAGCGAGGAACTAAGAATGGACCTTTGGGAAATGAAGAATCGGATAATTATGATTTATATGATTTGTATATTTTTTTTTGTTAATGTATAGAGATTGTTGGTGTTTGTATGAATAAATTTGAGTCTTCTTATTCTTATTATTGAATTATGATTTGTTTTAATTACCATTTCGATATTTTTAGAAATATGTTTCTTAAAAAAATATTAATCTATTTTTTCTAAGTATCTTAATATTTTTTTTCAAGATTTATATTACTATAATTTATTTCACGATTTCTCTTCATTTGAGATTGGTTTCCTTATTCCTCTGTTTTATATTCCCATAATTATTATAAAATAACTATACTACAAAATAAGTCAAATACTTCAAAAAATAAGTATACCTGGCACAGCATCCTTCGATAGTAATAAGTTTCATATTATATAAGTATTATTTGTCCCGACTTTATAGAGATGTTGGAACCTCTTTATAAAATTAGAATTCATTGACCGATCTGAATCTGATTCGACCTAACGCGGGTAAGTCGAACACGGATAGAAATTTTCTCGGATTCTCGCTGATTTAGAAATTATCATAAAAAAAATTTACCAGACTCCATTTTGTTTGTTTTCCAGATCTTCATGTGAATATATTTTCTTTTTTAGAATGTTGTATCTGCCACTTTAAGAGTGACAAGTGTCACAACATCATTTTCTTATATTTGTAGGATTTTTATATTTTTAGCCTTGTTTTTACTTTTAGCCTCTTTATTTATTTATGATAATTTTATGATTATTGATTTTTTTTACCTCGAGGAGATATATATATATATATTCAGTAATTTAATTTCTGGATTTTTTCTCATCTAGTTATAATTTTCAAGATTTATTTTTAAGGTATTGTTTGAGTAAGTATGATTGGGGTAACTATTGGAGTATAGATTGAAATAGAACGAACTAAAAATAATAATCGGAATATATATACATATAGATAAAATAATTTTACTACTTTACTTTATTACATATTTATTAAATAAGTAAGACATAAATATTTAAAAAACAAAGGATTAAGGTTAACATAAATATTAAGAAAAAAAATACTTTCCCAAAATTTGGAAAAGTGATATAATATTCACATAATCTCAATTATATAACTTTTCTTTAATAATCATTTACACATAGTCTGTAATCTTAAATAATATAATAAAAAATTTTCTAATTCGAATTATCCATTTTTTCGTTTTCATCTAAAATATGGCAACAATCGTTATTATGATTTAGTTCCCAGAATTTTTCAAGAATTTATTTGTATGGACATATATGTATATTCATTTTTGGGCATAAAGTTATTTTTATAATTCGTAGATATGATAGTTATTAGATTTAGGAAAATAAAAGTTATGAGGAATTATCCTTATTAATATTCTCCTATCCTTTACATGATCGTCCGTTCTAATTTAAAAAATATAATTACTCTTTCATACTATCAGAAAAAATTTATAACAAAGATTATTGTTAAATATAGGTCTATTATCTTTCGACTCTTATAATATTTCCGATTTTGTTGAAATATCTTACATCTGTCCAATATAAAAAACTGCTCTAACTCGAATTTCTGAAGAAAAAAAATTTCATTAAATTGGTATGGATTTGGAAATATAGATATCTAATATAAATAAAGATTATAAAGCCATCATCTTTAGTGTTACCTCTAAATATATGACCCATCAACGCCAAGTCTCATAGACAGATACATTTTAAAAATATCTGCAAAGTAACGTCAAAAAGTAACGTGGTTATTTTTTTGAAGCAAAGTAAACACCATTCATTACCTTCTTCTGGAAGTAACGATAAAAAATATGGAAAAAAACATATTTTATTGTATTATAAAAAATTACTATTATTTATTTTTTAAATAATTTAAATCGTTATAAAAAAATTTGCATTTTCAATCAAGATTGTTAATCTAATTAATAATGAATCAATCAATGTATATGTAAATTTATATTCTTGTTAATATTATAATTTATTTTATAAAGAATAGTCAATTGTATATTTTCTTAAGATGAAGATGAGTAATGCCTTGTCTCCAATATGAAACATTTTTTACACCAATAAAGAAAACTGAGGGTACAAAGTACACTCCTTTGTAAGTGTAAATTGTGTCCCAACTAAAATATTTTAACCTCAATTGTGGAATAAACATGGGCATCCTTCAAACTGTGCAGCCATTCTTAAGGAAATAATAGGATATCTGATTAAGCTGGATATAACAAGATGGAAACTATTTCTATAACTCAAATTAATCTAGTCTTATTAAGGAGAATGGTCACAATTGACGAATCTTGTGCTAAATCCACATTACAGATTTTCAGATAATGACAGGGATAAATATTGTGTGGCTATATATATAATTTTATAAGTATGGAACCTGTTCCTGTGGCTCTTTCGATTTAGAGAAAGAAGAAAAAAATACATTTGGGAAATCTCATCCCATGATAGCTTTAAATAATTTCATTTTGTAAGCCACTTATTAATGAAATAATAAAGACAAAGATAAAATGTATATAATTGAAGTATTGTTTGCAATATATTTTGGTAATATTTTATTTTAATTGAATTTAGCGAAAGCTGTGTTAAGCACTAAGCACTCTTGTTGATCTGATCAAAATTTTAAAAATCAATTTGATGTTAAAAAATAAATAAAAAATTAATTACAAAAATATCTTATCTTATAATACATTGTTCTTTTTTGCATAATATTATTTGTATTATATATATAGGGGAATATATTTTTTTGTATATAGGTAGTGAGTAAACCGTTACATTTTAGAATAACCAATAACGAGCGTTCCTTTTTTTCAGACGTAACGAGTAACACGTTACATTTTTGAACGTTTAAAGCACTACTTTACATAGATATAATTTAATAGTGGTGATACAAAGATGGGGAAAGGATATACCTTTGGCTAATAAAATATTATAGGTAACTCTATTCCATCACACCCAAATGTAGAGAAAAGTAGATTATGATTAGATTTATGCTCGAGCTAGTAGTTTATAAGAGTAATTCATATGTTTGCTTAAGGACTATATTATAAATCCCAAATGTATAACTTCATTTCAAGAATTTATGGTTGGTTTATTGATATTGTTATGATCACCATTAATATTATATCGGTATAAAAATGTTGAAAAGGCCTCATTTAGCGATTAATAATATTTGAGAGAAACAAAAGTCTATTACCTGGCAATAACATAATAATTATGGTAACCATTCTAGTTAGCAAAACCTATACAACCTAGAATTATTTATAACCATAAAATAAGAGCACTTGTTATTTCAGGTTGTTAAAAATTGTATAAGAATGTTGAAATATTTTTGTGCAATATTTACTGAAAGCTTGTATATTATAAACGTACATGAATGATATTTAAACACAAATTATTTGAAAGATTATTTTTTTTAAATAAAATTTGGAAATAAGGCAATTATTTTTTTATTCTTAAATTAATTTTCTTCATTCATGTAAGAAAAAAAAAATCCTTATGAATCTTTGCGGCATATTCCTATACTGTACGGATCCGGGTGTTGACATTTGAATCCTTGTTTGCAATGGCCTTGTGTCCAAACTTCACCGCAGGGTTCTCCTTCCTCCTAATAATAGTAATTAATTTTTTTTCAAAAAATATCATTAAAAGAAAAATTTAGCGAACTTAGATTGTTGCTTTAATTATTAATTTTTGAAAGTTTAAAGATTAGAAGTCCCTGCGAAATCAATTATTTTTGATAAGGACTCTAAGAATAAAAAAAAAGTTCCATACTCAAGCCAGGGTTTAAATTTATAGTGTAAATTAAAATAAGGAAAATAATCTCATGTCAGTCATATATTTATTTTTATCACCTTTTGGCTAATCTGCTTTTAAGTTTTGGATAATTATTTTCTTTTCCTTTCTCCGCCTAATAATAATATCCTGCACCTGCCTAGTGCCTAAACCTTAAAAAAACAACAAATATTTGCAAAATGCAATTTTTACACCATTACCTTAGGGAATAATCTTTTGCTTTTTAATTAATTAAAAGCCTCTTAAAATAATAATTTATGGGGTTCTATTTAGGACAAAGGATCTCTTTAGAGTATAACTGATCCACTCCTCCCTTAGATTTCAAATTAAATGAAGGAATAGAAGGAACTATCGTTTGCCTGTTCCCAACGATATACCGCTGCTTATTGAATAAATTAATCAGGGGAATCATATATAAGAGGATATATTTAATTTGTTTTATTCTTGTTTTACTAAATACAGGTTTTTCTTACAAAATGGATACGGTCGGTAGTAAAAAATAAAATAAAATAACAATTCAAAATTACTTTTGGGTATTCTGTAATGCATACCCCCTGATTGAAGAGGCTCCCTGTAGCTTTCGTATTTACATATGAATCCTCTAGAACATTTACCCGATGTTCGAAATGGCCCCCCACACTCTTCATCTTTCACCTGTGAAGGATATTCATTAAATAAGTGTAATCATAATATTTTATACCACCTAATTTGATAATGTTGGAATATAAAATTCTTTAAAAAATTCTTCAAAAATTTAATGCAGTTTAATTATTATCAACATACTTTTGCGCAAACGTCGCAGCATCCACAAGCGTCCTTAGTTATGTCGCCTTTACAATCCGTGGGCGTAGGCGTTGAACATTTAGTTGGAAGATTGTGACAAGGACAAGATAGAGCATCTACATGTCTTTTTATATCAATTTTTTTTAAAGTATAAAAAAATTTAAATTTTCTAGTCCCATTAATATTTTAAAAGTATCGGTTATAAGTCTGGACCGGACCATTTTTCGAAATTTTTGGTTTGATGAAGACAGCTGTTCGATCGGATTTTAACAAGCCGACAAATTTCCGTTTGGACATTGATCTGTACACTACAGTTGTTGACCTTAAATTAACTCATAAATTAAACAATCGAACCAAAACATTCTAAAAATCGGAGTTAATTAGGGCCTAACAATTTGATTTTTGGAAAATTTCTAAAATAATATAGGTATATTAAAAGGAGAAATATTGTTATCGGAGAGTTTTCTACAAATTATTTATAAATAACCAATATTTTAGCCCAAAAGCAAAACCTTAAAATTATGACATAGAGTGGGTTTCTTTAAATATTTTGTTTGGCTAAATTCTTAGATTTTTGCTTAAATGGACTAAATCGAGGCACTCGATAACACTAATCATAAAGGGTGAATTTCTTTAACATTAACACGAGGCCCAAACCCTAGAATTGAGATTGATTCTTTAAACATAAATAAGCTCAATTCAGACATTTTTATTCGCGAAATAACCTATTTTTAATATGATTGTTGTAAATTATTTAATATTGAAATGAATTTATTTATTAATCTCGTTCAACTATTATAGTCAAAAAAAAAAGAAGATTTAAATTAATTTTTGGAATTGATTAAAGGAATGATTATTTATTGAACTTAACCCTATCACCGTTCCTCTAATTGGCTAGCCGAAACTTTTGTTCAAAATAATAGAGTCTAAACCTATGAAAGAATGGTTCTTTCAAAAATTAATCAAACAGACATATCTTTTTTTTATAATATTAAACTAAAAAAAAATGTACCCAATATCATGTGAGTGATAATGAGCTTTACTTTGTTCGTATTCATATACTAAAAGATATTTTGTTTTTGTATAAAATTTTAAAGGGACATTTTTTATATTTATTCAAAAATAAATATATGGATGTGGTTAGCGTTAATGTGTTTTTTTTCCGGGAAAACTTTCTTTTAGCGCGATTTATTTAAATTTAAAGATCTAATTTTACCGGAAATATATTATATCATGTTTGGAATACCTATCTTATGAATCGTAGTCAATTTTGCTGATAACCTTTAGGACCATTTATAATTATATAAAATATATGAAAAATTTTATATAAATTAAATTAAGTTTAAGAGTTCGTGAAAATATTGTCTGAAATTCATAGAGTCAGTATTCCAAAACATGATGGAATGCATTTTCGGTAAAATTAAATCTTTAAATTTTTTTTTAAAACGCGCTCAAATAATGATTTAAAGTTTAAAAAATGACACATTGGCGGAAAAAACACATTGAAGATATATCTATCTGCAAATTTAACTATTTTTCACATAGAAATAAAAATTGATTTCAGGTAATTATGTAACAAATAACAATGGGAGGGAAATATTACAGTGTTGTGATGATTTAATGAAACATATTGACGATTAAATTAAAACCCATCTAATAGTTTTTTTAAGATTTAATTTAGTTTGATTTTGGTAATATTTCCGTATTTAATTATTAAAAAATTTTTTTTAAAAAAACTTGGTTAAAAATGCTTTAAAAATATATAGGAAAATTTATATCTATTTATTAAACTTACCCATTAGAATTGAATAAAACTAATATAAATCCAAAACATATTTTAACAGCAAATTTCATATTTTAAGATATAAATTTTGTTTTATTAATAAATTAAAATAAATCAAAATAAAATTTAAAAGCTTTCCAAAGAACGTTTTTAATTGTTAATTATTATAAATGTTTCAGAATTTGTTCTTTTCTTTTGTAAAATAATAAAAATTACCATGGCTTTATATTCTAAGTTTGAGAACAATGCTGTTATCTTGCAATTACAATCAATATTCTTGTGAGGGATTTGATTGTAGTATTAGATAGATCAAGGCTAAAATGACTTGAATTATATTATATTCTGTAAATTAGCAAAGACCCGTGGCTAGTCAATGCATTGAGCCAACTTTATCTCTGTAAAGTTTTGATTTTAAAATTTCATTTTAGAATAACATTCTATAATATCTATATCATTATATCATTAGTGGAGGCAAAAATTTTAAAATTCTTTTATTTAAAAAAAAATGTGTTCTTAAGGTCAAAATGAAAATTATTATTTTTTCATCACAATTTTTGATTTCGAAGTTGTAGCAAATAAATAAATGTTAAATAATTTTCCTTCATAAAATAGAAATTATATAAAAAGTTATATATAAAACCCTCTTTGGATATTTTTGGAAAAGTTAATCATATGTTCACTCATGATAAATATATATTTCAAAAGTTATTATTAATTATTAGCAGACCTGTTGAGGCTAAAGTAGCTATCTCCCGCTCGTACCTTCTAAAAAGGAGCTAGCTCCCGCTCCCGCTACTACATTTTTATAAGGAGCTAGCTCCCGCTTTCTCCAAGTAATGGAGTGCCACTCCATAACCGCTCCTTTTGATTTCCTTTTTTTTAGAAGGTACAACGAAACAAAATCATATATTTTAATCAAAAAGTTTTATTTATAATAATAGATCTATCAAAATATTTATAATCTTTTATTAGCCTTTAAATGTAATAAATTTTCTTAATTAGATTCTAACAAACATCCACGCATCTCCCCTAAGACCTGTTTTGCAATACTAAATAAGCGCTCCACAGGAACACTAGAGGGAAACGGGGTATTGTATTTTATAAAGAGATTTTTTAATTCAGTATAAGAAAAGGAGGTTGAACAAGTAATGAAAAAATTAAAATAATAAATATTTAAATATATTTAAAAAAGTATCATATCTAGCAACCCAAGCTCAACCATAATGTATTGCCCAAAAATAATTCTAACCATTTAATAAAAAATTATTTCAAAATAAAAAAATATATAGTTATCATTTCGTAAAGAAAGATTTATTACTTTTTGTTAGAAATTGTTCCCCCCCCCCCTATGGTTTTTCAATACCAAAAAAAAAATTAATTAAATAAGTTTTATCCCAGTTGGACCTTCCTTTTTTGTTTGTCGCAAATAGATAAAAATTAAATTAAGTTTTTTCTCTTGACCTTCTTTTGTCTTATTGTAAATGCATAAAAATTAAATAAAGTTTTCTTTTGTTTTGATTTAAATGCTTTTAAGGTGCAAATATAGTTTTTGTGTTTTCTTTTTACTTAGGGGGTTTACTTAATTTTGAAGTCTTTGAAAGGATTTTAGGCAAATAAAAGTTAGATAGTTAGGTCCGGGAGATCGCCCTGCATCCAGTGGTAGTTTCGGAAAGTATAGGTGGGTAGGTTTTATTCCTAATTATGCAAGATAAAACTAACACAACTCCGTTTTGCAAAAAACGTTCATTTTTTCACTTTGCGCCAATTTTATTTTATTTTATAATTGCGCGTTTTATTTTTCCCTATATAAGGAACAATTTTTTTTATATTAGATATAGATATTTTTTTGGTTGTATTGACTTTATTAACTTTTTTTAAAAAGTATAATTAATTTTATTTTGATAAAATTGATCTTATAATGACATCTACCCGAAGTCATCAGGTGCCACCAACCATTTTACCCATAATGGAAGCACCAGCATCAGGAGAAAATATATTTTTTAGTTTTGCGAAAAGTGTTGGCCCGCAGTACGTGAGAAATTGTATTACTTTTTCTACATCATCCGATATATGCGTTGTTTGCAAAGGAAACCGTTGTCAATAATTACACAAGGGTTCCGATGCCGAATATTCTTTGATGTTCAGTGGTCTTGACCCCCAGGACGTCAATTGCTGTGTAGGTGCTTCCATTATGGGTAAAATGGTTGGTGGCACCTGATGACTTCGGGTAGATGTCATTATAAGATCAATTTTATCAAAATAAAATTAATTATACTTTAAATAAAGTTAATAAAGTAACTGAAAAATTAATTTAATTAGTTTTAAAAATCAATACAACCAAAAAAATATCTATATCTAATATAAAAAAAATTGTTCCTTATATAGGGAAAAATAAAACGCGCAATTATAAAATAAAATTAAATTGGCGCAAAGTGAAAAAAAGAACGTTTTTTGCAAAACGGAGTTGTGTTAGTTTTATCTTGCATAAGGTATAAAACCTACCCACCTATACTTTCCGAAACTCTAATTATACCACTGATTGCAGGGCGATCTCCCGGACCTAACTATCTAACTTTTATTAGTTGCTCACTTTTGAAAATGAAATACTTTCACTTAAACACAAAAGGCATTTTGTTCTTAAACTTTGATCATTTGGATCAACATCTTTTAGATTAAAATATTTTTTGTATGATGGAAATGGAAAATTCTATTTCTTCTTCTATGATCTCTAAATCCACAAAATCAAAAACTATATTTTATTATATATGAATGTTAATACGATTTACAAAATTTTCCACAAAGTTTTCAATATAAAAATGAAAAACTCGATGTTTAATATTTAAATGATTAGAAGAAAACCAATATAAAACTCGGCTCAATATTCAATAATGAATAAATTTAAATAAAATTTCATTTTTAACGAATTTTAATTAACAAATATTATTAATTTTTTAAAAATAATTTAATTTATATCTTAAATTTGAAAAAGCGGTTGAGCGGCCCTCCTCCACTCTAGCTCTAAAAGGATATAATCCCGCTCCTCATTTTTTGTTTTTGAAAAAATGTAGCGGCGCTCCAGGAGCGTTGCTTTCTAACAACTCTGATTATTAGTATCTATATCTTATCTATATTGCGTAAAAGATATAGTAAAAATATATGTAATAAATTCTATTCGATAAATTAAATTACAATGTATGCTTTGATGAGTATTAAAGCATTTAAAGAATAGTTTAGATGAATGCCTTATGTTAGAATTATTTACATAGTTTTTATTTTTAATGAAGTCACTAATAAATAAAATTTTATTCACTTCACTTTAGGTGCAGGAATTATCACAAAAACAAAATTCTCTTGCAGGGGTTCCTCCTCCACTACAAGAATCAGTTGAACGGACCACGCAAGCTCGAACTCTTTGACAAGGGAAGAAATCATGATTTATTAAAAATCTTAATTATAGAAATAATATATATTTTATTTTTTTTATATTGAGGGAATTAAGGGTAAGAATAATATATTTATAACAGATCCATTGTTGTTGAATCGCCTACTTTTTAAAAATAATTGACTCAACCATCTAATTTGAGCCTCAACGTGAAACGTATATTTCAGGGCTAAAACTTGCCTAATTAAATTTTGGAAGATAAATGATTTAAAAATATTAAATAAAAAATTTAAACAGTTCAAATTTTTAAAACAAAGAATTTTTTTTAAATGAAAATTAGTTATATAATTAGGGGATAATTCAACAATCAAAAAATTAATTATAATAATGTGCATATGTGGAGGCGTTGTTCTTAAAGCACAGTATCGCTTCTCCATGGCGATGAGAAAACATAAAAGATTAGGAATCTTATCTCATATTAGGAAAAACATTTTTTAAAATAAATTTATTAATAATGATTATATTTTGGAAAGGTGATTTATTAATATATTAAGTATCAATATATAGTTGTTAATATTTACTATAGAAACATATGAAAATCCCTGAACCAATTAAATTTTACCGATAAACATCAAATATTTTTTGGTAGGTTTAAAAAGTTTTAAAATTATTTTTCTATTTTTTAATATCAATTATATAATATGAATTCTATTAACTTTTAGATGAGTAAAAAATAATAATTTAAGCTTATTCTAGAGACTTCTTTCATATTAATTTTTTTCCTATCTCATCGAAACGTTAGATATTAAATACTTTAGCTGCCAAAATAATTAAGCAAATATTATAAAAAACTATCCAATTCCTAAAAAAAATTAAATATATAAGAATTACCTTTACCATAAAAAAATGCAGGCAATATTAAAACTAATCAAGAGATATTGTTTTCTATTAAACGATTATTTTCGATTATGGATCTTATCTCAAAGATAAACTAAATACTTATACGGTTGGCAAGTTGAGAAAGGGAGGGGGGGGGGAATACGAAGTTTAGATCGTACTTTCTTACACTTTACTTCCAAATAACTTGCCTTTTCTTTAGAATTATTATTTCTTCTCAAATAAGTGTTTTTAGTATAACATTTCTTGGGTAAGTGGTTAAGCCGTATTTAATGTTATTTTATCAAAGTGACAAATCTTATATTGTAGTGCACATGAATCTTAAATTTTATTATTTATAATGCTTTGTTTATAAATTAAATTGAGAGATTATTCAATTTAAACGATCATATCTCCACTATGGATAATATACCAAATATTTATAAGGTTGGCAAGTTGGGGAGGAACGGGCGAACGAAGCATAGATCGAGCTCTCTTACATTACATTCCCAAATAATTGCGGGCTCTGAATTAGAATTATTATTTACTTTATAATTATAATTTTATCCTTATATTCACTCATAGTCGAATCAGTATTTTAATGATTTTTGGTTATCTTGAAACATCTTATGTTAATTTGTATATTTTATAAAGATTGAATAAAATAACGACTAAAAAAAATATATATATATCTATTATTTTGCTTTATTAAATAAATTTTTAATCTATAATTGGTTAAATTAAAGTTAACGTACTATAAATAAGCAATTTTTTTTATGATGTTATTTGAAATATTTTTTATAAATATATTAGATAAATTAAGTTTCTTATTAGATTTAAAAAATATTTAATTCGTTATTAACTCCTCTAAATACGCGATGCTGCTATTGTGGATACTTGCTACGATATATA